GCCGTGTTCTCTTTCTTTCTCTCTCCCTCATACACACCCCGCTCGAGGAGTTCGAGGAGTTATGGGGTTCCTATTTTTCGGATGAAGTTGCGGTTCGGACACCGCAACTGGAGCTTGGAGCTGCCTTTAGAACAGTAAATTTCACTCTTATCTTCTCGCCGAAGCCCTGTGTAATAAACTGAAATGCAAGGGAGCAGCAGGGTGCCTCATCTGACGCTTATGGAAACGTGGTTTGAAAACCCTGTTTAACGACATGGGAACAACTTCATGCACATTATACTTCCTATTATTGCATCCGAAATACTCGGAAATGGAGCCGTAAGGTCACCTGCAATATTTATGGGAGCTCGTCTTGTCGATGCATTTTCACTTAATGGAGTAGCTGACTAAGCCTGAGGTATTTTTCATTAATAAATATCATTTTCAGGCCAGCTATCATCCGACGTGGAATAACATAGATATATCGCTTCACGATCAACTGAGCTCGATGTAGTAGTGGAGGTGGCTGGCCTGCTAGGCCAAATGGATAAAAACAGCTAGTCTATTTGCGTTTATGGCAGTTACGAATTTGCCCCGATTAATGGTATTTCGGTTGCTGTGTCCGCCCCAACATGGCGATTCAATTGGAGCCTGCGTCATCATATTCCGTCCTATAGCCAGACCGAATCAATGAAAACTACCCTCATAAGGTACAGAATATTCATCGTCGCACTGGATAAAATGAGGGTTCGTGGCTATAGTGGTAGAGCATCAGACTCAATTTCTCGAGAATAAACAGTTGAAAACAGCAAATAGGTACCCATACTTATAACAGATTATCTTACACTAAGTTTCAGCGCTGTATATATTCCCGTGTCCCAACCGTAAAACAAACTACTTAACAGAACAAAAAATAGAATAGTGACCGATGAAAGCAGCAGAGACTGAGATTATCTTTACTCGTTGAGTTGCTATTGTCAGTCAGTCAGTCAGTCATGCCTTAATCCCAGGCGCCGACGACCAGCCGGTTACCGAGTGTAATACGTGGACAGTTGAGCCAAGTACTCGCGTCCTGCTGACTGGGATGGCGAATTTAGCAAGTGAGATAGGAGCCGTTTTTGAAGACTTGCCTTCACGACTGGATGGAGGAAGGGTGCTCAGTTTTTCTGAAGCGTTTGTTCACGACCCCTCAGAGACTGTCGTCTCGGGACGAGTAGTTCGATATTTGATTTGCCTGTATTTTTCCGTCAAAATAACCAGCTTCACTTTATGCAATAACAGTAATTTTGAGCTTTTAAGCAGAGATGCATTCTTGTAGCAAAGCCGCCATTCCGTTCAACGGCGAACCCTGAGGCGTCCCAGAATGTATTCAACTACAAGTTTTGTTAACAATTTATATCTTCCGATTTCGGCAAAATATTAGTGAAATGACTGCATTTGAATTTGCCTTGACCAAGCCATTTTGATTCTTCTCCAATGGGATATGTAAATATTGGAGGTTAGTGGTGACTAGAAGCCTAGCTATGAAGTCGTCTAATGTTCTGTGATCGTGTGAGTGGAGTAAGAATCACCAGTCTGCCTAGTTACTCTCGTGGTTACTGGGAAAAAGTCGAAAGGCTTTAAAGTCCCACAGGCATAAATATTTATATGTTGCTGCTATTAATGTGGAGACAGCCCATATTTTGTGATTGATCTTAACGAACCCAATGTGAAACAGATTCCCTTGCATCGGCGTCTGCAGAAAAGAAGAAAAATTGTATATCAAAAACCTCCCAATGCTGCGGGTTCAACGCGTTTGTCGTGATTTACGTGAGAGGAACGTACTAGGTACCTCAGTCCTCTCCACGGACATACCCTGCCTTGGCGTCAGCTGCGCAAGCCTGACTGCTGATTATTCAGCAGTAGTAAAATACTGTGGGCTGTAGTGCTGACATAATTTATATGTGTCCCACGCGACCCCAGCACCATAAATCCTCCGTCTCGCCAACCAGTTTTGGGTTAGGATTGGACTTACGGAACTACTCCAGTACATTTTTCTGCAGTTTTTCTTGATAACGGTGTGAATTATTATTAACTTGGAAACGGCAGAGGACTCCTAGCCGAGGGAAATTCCTCAACCGACCCTTGAGTAGAGTAGATTGCATATCTGATGCAAGGTTGGGGATAAGAGGATGTAACGCACATTTGAGGTTGTTTATTTAGTT